AGGTGGATTTGTTTGTGTTCGGCTTTTCGTAGCCGGGGATACTCCCCCGCCCGGCTCTAGGTTTCTTCCTCTCCCATTGCCTGACCCAAGGCCTGAGGAGGATTTGAGGAGATGTGGTGGCCAGTCTGACCCGTCTCTAGACTGTTGAGGTACCACTAGCTCAGGGCCTGGTTTGGGGGCACTAATGGGAGTCAGGGAGGGAGGCAGCCTGGCTGGGTGGTATCCCCGTGTACTCACAGCCGAACACCATCAGTTCCACCTCTCTTTTCTTGTCCTCCACTTCACAGGTGTAAATCCCTGAGTCTGCGATTTGAAGGCTCTTGATGACCAGAGGAAAGGATCCTTGGTCCCACAGGATTTTTTTGCATTCAAAGCGAGTTTTCAGCTTGGAGGAGCCTGGGAGCAGAAGCCACGTGGAGGAGGTTGGGGTACCCTGAAGCCACGACATCGCTGGAGAGGGCAATGCCCACAGCCTTTCTGATCTCAGTCGCTAACTTTCTGCAGAATCTGTCCCTAATCCGAAAACCCCAGACTGGAGAGGAGGTCCCATCAACATTCACTTAATTGGCCAGGACAATGTCTCACTAATCCAAAATAAAACGAGACCCTTATTTCAAGACCACCAACTCCTACATGCCAAGTACTTTCCACGCATCATCACAAGTGATCTTCACAATGATTCCAAGAAGTAGGTACTGTTTGGCTTGTTTTGTAGATAAGGGAACAGAGGCTCAGACTCTTACTTTACACATTGCTGGCAGGAACATAAACCAGTACAATTTCTTCGGAGGGTAATTTATAACATCTACCCGAATTATAAAGGCACATACAAAAAAAATAACTGTCCACCAGGAAAGAATAGGTTAAGTAAATAATTCACCCATTCAGTGGAATGCTGTACAAGAAGGAAGCTCTTTCACGGTTAAGAAAGGAATAATAAATAGTTAAGACACGTCATTAACTAAATCGAGCAAGATATTGAACAGGCTACCATTTGTTTAAAAAGGAGGGAGAAATCTGTTTATCGATATCTATTTCTCTATCATCTGCCTTGTATAGGAACAAATATTTCTAGAAATAAATGTAAGAAAATGGTAACCTTGGTTGCCCCTGGGGAGAAGAAGTGAACATCTGTGAGACAGGTGTGGGAGGAGGGCTTTACACTTTTCTACCTTTGTTTTTTTTTTTTTTTTAAGTTTAATTATTTATTTTGAGAGAGAGAGAGAGAGCCAGGGAGGGGGGAAGAGAGAGAGAATCCCAAGCAGGCTCCATGCTGTCAGGGCAGAGCCCCGACTCGAGGCTCGATCTCATGAGCATGAGATCATGACCTGAGCCAAGATCAAGAGTTGGATGCTCAACCAACTGAGCCACCCAGGCACCCCACTGTTTTCTACCTTTTAAATTTGACTTCAACAAGTAGCAGAGACAGGATTAAAATCTGGGCCTGTTGGGTATACTATACAGTACTGTCTCTGGAAAGTTCCCCGGACAGAGACAAGTGGCCTCCTCCGGTCTCTTCTTTCAGCATCCAACAACCACCGCCATGAGGAAGTTCTTCTAAAGAGAAGAACTAATCACTTTCTGGGTGTGGCTCCAGAATTCCTGTAATGGACGGCTGTAAAGGCTAATCTTACATAGAAAATGCAGTTTTTACTTAGAATACATGTTTAGAGGGATGGGGCAAAGGTGGCTGAGAAAAAAACAAAACAAAACAAAACAAAAAAAACCCTACCCTCAATGCCTTGGGCTCTACTTCTGTCTCCCTGAGCAGTCACGGGCCCTCTCCCTGTTTCTACCTGGTGTGCGAGACTGGGTGTCAGACTGGCCTCTTGGCCCCTTCCCCACTGCTCACTCTTCTCCTCTTTGGGAGACCTTTCCGGTTGAGCTGTAACCCTGGGCTCTCCCTCAGCACTCCCCCCACCCCCTTGCCCTTGATGCTTTGGGAGTTCCTTACCTCTGGCTCTTTCCCTGGATCTGCACTTGGCTTAGTTCTCCAGGTGCTGTGAAATCCTGCTCCATTCCATTCACAGTTTACCAAGCTTCTTGGAGGAGTGCTCCCCTCTGGTTCTGCCCCCTTTTCCACCTTTTTTGTTCCCTCCTCCTATGTAAGCACCATTTCCTTTTCTTCCTCTTGGGCTCCTCTTCTGACATCTGCATTTAGGGGTTACCCCAGATCCTCTCCCCCATTCCTACGGATGTTCTAAATTCCAGGGCACCCCCTGTCAGTGCTGCGGCTGGCTCCCAAATTGATATTCCCAGCCCCAACCTCTCTCCTCAGTCCTGGACCCACATTGCCAGTGACCCAAGGGATAACGTTATTTGAAAATCTTGCCATCACCCAAACTCACTTGGTTGAAAATGAAGTGTGTCACCCTTTCCCTAAAATAACGCTTCCTCCTTGCGCTTCTTTTCCTCTTCTGGGCCCTGTCATGGCCCTGTTACTTGTGCAGGATGTCACATACTTTGTTTTTTTGTTTGTCATTTTTAGTTTGAGAGAGACACAGAGCATGGGCAAGTAGGGGAGGAGGCAGAGGAGAAAGAGAATCTTAAGCAGGCTCCACACTCAGCATGGAGCCTGACGTGGGGCTCAATCTCATGACCACGAGATCATGACCTGAGCTGAAATCAAGAGTCTGACGCTCATGAGGCTCAACTGACTGAGCCACTCAGGTGCCACAGGACGTCACGTGCTTTGAAAAAGAGATCACAAGGTGGTGTGGAAGGTCTAAGAGTACGGGTGAGTCTGGACTACGTCGTGGAGAAGACCTGTGTTGCACCAAATCTTTTTTTTTTTTTTTTAATTTTTTTTTTCAACGTTTATTTATTTTTGGGACAGAGAGAGACAGAGCATGAACGGGGGAGGAGCAGAGAGAGAGGGAGACACAGAATCGGAAACAGGCTCCAGGCTCTGAGCCATCAGCCCAGAGCCTGATGTGGGGCTCGAACTCACGGACCGCGAGATCGTGACCTGGCTGAAGTCGGACGCTTAACCGACTGCGCCACCCAGGCGCCCCTGTGTTGCACCAAATCTTAAAAGAATAGGCAGCGGGCCAGAACGAAGATGAGGAATGAGCATATCCAGGAAGTGGAAATGCTCCAGGAAAGTGGTAGAGGCAACCACCTCAAAGCAGTGAGGAAAACCCCCGGGTGTCCAGGTTTCCAGGGGGAAGCTGTGGGAAGTGGTGCCGAGGTGGTGGATGTCTGGCAGAGCGTCCTGGGCCTGGTCCAGTGGACTAGGGAGCGACAGGTAAAAGGCATTGCTTTGGAAGTCACTACTGAAGTGGGTGGAAGAAAACCAAAGTAGGAGGGACTGGGAGCAGAGAGAATTGCCAGGAAGCTTCCACTGTAATCCAGGTGGGAGTTCTGTGGCCTTGGCTAATGATGGTGCCATTCTCATGGGAACAAAGATTGTTAAATAACAAAAATTCAACCGAGTGAATTGTAGGGATCTTACTGGCTTCATAATCCAGCCATGCAGGGGCAGCATCCCATCTAGCAAGTGGAAGGGAGCTCCCAAGGGCTACAGAAAAAGAAAGGTTTTTAAAGGTAGAAAGGAGTGCTCGCTTCGGCAGCACATATATTAAAGGTAGAAAGGAAGTGGAAGAAAAGGAAATTATTAGGGAAGAATCCATTGTTTTAGGCAAGATCGCCTTTCCTAAGGAAAGCAGAAGGGGTGCCTCAGTAAATATCCTGGTGTTGACAAGGAAATTCCCATGTTGACTGGTTAAAGGTTACATTTCTAGGGGGTTGAAACGGCAGTTAGGTTAGGTATTAAGTCTTGGTTTACTGACCAGGGGTCTTAACCTAAGTGACACCATTTTGGGCCTGTGGTTCTCACTTTAACAAGATGAAACAGAAAAACACTTTCAAAGGAAGGAATCACCATCATGGGTGACTGATGGGAAACCAGAGATTGAAGAAGAGAAAAATAACCTCTGACTCTCTGGTTCAGAAATTGGGAAGGTCAGGAGAGTGAAACTGCCCTTGTCAGAGATCAGGAAGTTGGGAAGGGGAACAGTTCTGGAGGAAAATCAAATCCTAGGAACAGAACAAAAGCACTCACACAAAAGACAGGAATTTTTAGAAAGGAGCACCTTGTTTCAACCCCAGAGGCAATCAAAGAAATGCAAATGAAAACAACAATGATATATTTTTCAACTGTCAAATTAGCAAAGAAAAAAAAGCATTAAATACTACTACTCAGTTCTGGCAACATGCAAAAAGCACACAGTTAACTGGACTTAGTGTAAACAGCTGGAACCTTTCTGGAAGCAATCTTACAGTATATGCCATCCATTATTAAAAGTTTATATCTTTAATCTCATTTCTAGAGCATTATCCTTAAAACAATAATTTAAAAATGCAAACTAGGGGCGCCTGGGTGGCTCGGTCAGTTGAGTGTTGAACTCTTGATTTTGGTTCATGTCATGATCTCACAATTGTGAGATCCAGCCCTGTGTTGGGCTCTGAGCTCGGTGTGGAGCCTACTTAAGATTCTCTCTCTCACCCTCTGCCCCGCCCCCCTCTCCCCCCCAAAATAAAACTTAAAAAATAAAATAAAATAGCAAACCAAAATGTAGATACAAAAAAATAGTGTCGTCAATAGGGTACAACATTAGACCAAAAGATAATGGCTGTATATTAGAGTATATTAATTTGATGGAATATTAGGTTAGCACCAAAATAACTAAAATAATTTATTTTTCTTTCTTCCTATTTAACCCATCCTCCCCACCCACTTCTGCTCTGGTAACCATCAGTTTATTCTCCATAATTAAGAGTCTGTTTCTTGATTTCTCTCTCTCTCTCTCTCTCTCTCTCTCTCTCTCTCTTATTTTTTCCTTTTGCTTGTTTATTTTGTTTATTAAATTCCACACATGAGGGAAATCATATGGCATTTGTCTTTCTCTGATTTATTTCACTTAGCATTATACTCTCTAGCTCCATCCATGCTGTTGCAAATGGTAAGATTTCATTCTTTTTTTATGGCTGAATAATATTCCATTGTATGTATATACCACATCTTTATCCACTCGTCTGTTGATCAATGAATCACTTGGGCTGCTTCCATATCCTGCTATTGTAAATAATGCTGCTATAAGCATTGGGGTACATGTATCCCTTTGAATTAGTGTTCTTGTATTCTTTGGTTAAATACCTAGTAGTGCAATTACCAGATCGTAAGGTAGTTCTATTTTTAATTTTTTCAGGAACCTCCATATTGTTTTCCACAGTGGCTTCACTAGTTTGCATTCCCACCAACAGTGCAAGAGGGGTCCTTTTACTCCACATCCTCGCCAACAGGAAACTGTTGTTTCTTGTGTTTTTGATGTTTGACTTGGCCATTCTGATGTGTGTGAAATGATATTGCATTGTAGTTTTGATTTGCACTGATT